ACGGGCCCCTGAACTGTGCCCCCCGGCAGCAGCAGGAGGTTCCGCTGAAAAGGGAAATTCCCAGGCGGGCGGCAGACGCGGCCGGGCGGGAGACGGCGCAGACAAAGAGCGACACTGTTCCTAGAGAGCCGGGCAAGGGACCCGCTCCGGCACAGCCAAGCCGTTGGCAGGTCACCCAAAAACGTGCTTTTTGTCCAGGACACGTCATTTCCTACCGGGATTTGGCAGGGGGGGGGATTAGTCCATGGGATGGGTGCTGGCGTCTGGCAATACCCACGGGGGTTATCCCCAGCTGCGTCGCACTTGGTGCTGTAAAACCTGAAGAGGTTGAACGGGAGTTTCCAGCCTTGCCAGACCCTTCATTTCGTAATGAGGTGGGGGTCGGGCTCTGCTCCCAGGGAAGGGGTGATGGGACGAGGGGCACCGGCCTCAAGTTGTGCCAGGGCAGGGTGAGGTTGGCCATGGGGAACAATTCCTTCCCCTTGGGGCTGTCAGGGGCTGGAAGGGGCTGCCCAGGGAAGGGGCTGGGGGAGCTGAAAGGGCTTTGCCAACCCAAACGATTTCATCATTTCGTTTCAAAGTTTCTCTTGAGAAAGGCAGAGGAATTGAAATAATGGTGTCAGGGGACAACGCACACTCATATTTAGACACCCCAAACTCTTCCGGTGTCCCCATGTGTATTTTTGGCTTTAAGTCAGCCAGGAGAAGAAAAAAAAAAAACCCACCCAGAAAAAAGCAGCTTCTCAGGAGCCACATGGTGGAGCTGGCATTGCCAGCCAGGATGCATCGGGAGCCTTGGGATCTCATCAGGAGCGGAGCGAAGCGCAGGCAGGGGCTGCAAGCGCCCGCTCCTGGTCCACGGCCCCATCACTCCTCCTGCCGAGGGGGCAGCAGCAGCGCCAAGAGAAGAAACCTGCACACCAGCCCTCCCGCCTCGGGCAGGGTGAAATTATCCAGATGAAGATGCAACCCTCCCCCCAGCAATGCGTATTATCAGGAGGGATGACAGATTTTTTGGATGAGGGCTCAGCGCTGAGCAGGGAAGCTTCCATTGACCCTGACAGCATCGTGGTCTCCAAGGACCCACCTTTGGTTCTGGACACTGAGCTGGGTTTGAAGAGCCACAATTTAGAGCCTTCTGCTCAACTTGCCTTCAAGCTTACGGCGTTCGGATCATAAAGCTGCCAACGGGAATGAATTTGCTCGCCCTGACCACACGCCGCTCCACGCCCCAGCAGCCTGAGCGGCCCTGGCCCTTTGGGACTTGCTCCCACCCCTCACTAGGGCCAGCCGCGGGGGATCTGAACATCCATATGTCAAAAGCATCGTCCCAAACTGCTTTTAGACCTCCCCTCAACTTCACTTTTAATTACCGTCAAGGCAACAGCCCCATCTCAGCCACCTTCTGTGACTGCAAAGGTTTAAAGGCCCCTAAAGAGAAAAAAAATCGTTCAAGCATTGACACTATGATCGACCACCTTCTTTGCCTTCCTTTGGGAAGAGGCCTTCAAGACGAGAGGAGGAAAGATGACCATTGCTCACCGTGCTGGAGGACGAGGAGGGTGCAGTGGCCTTGCTGAAGGCATCTGGAGCGCAGAGGCACAAAGAGCTCCTGCCCTTCCTTACCCGGCCCGAAGCAGGAGCAGCAGCAAGGAGCCCACCAAGGGAGTGCTCAGCAGAAGGTCCCAGCCCTAGGGACCTCCCATGCCAGCGGAGGAGGAATCCCCAGTTGGGGATGGAGCTTTCATTGGGGTGTCCTGGACCTGGGGGCACATCTCCACCCTTGTCCTTCTCCTTCTTCAGCTTCAGGGAATTGGGGAGCGGGGGCACTATGCCGCAAGGATGCCCGGTTCATACACTGCTTCAGAGGAAAAAGCTCCTACGGGATGGAGCAGAAGCATTTACAGCATAATCCAGGCTGGATTCTCAGTTTCAGTTTAATCAAAAAGGCAAACTACCCCTGGCAGCCTCTGGAGCCCCGCAGGAGAGGACAAACCATCTGAACAGGCACCCGGATTAAACAATTAACAGCGGGGCTGGGACGGGAACAGAGGAACGGTGGGACCCGGCTAGGTCAGCGTGCCCGGACCTCCTCTATTAAAATCTGCCACTTCAGAGCACTTCTTTCAAGCGTGCGATTCAAGCGGGAGCGCGAGCCTGAGCAATTGCCCAAGTCAGCACAGCAGGCATCAAA